ACAGCTATCTCCTCCTGTGCCACCATCCCCTCCCTCCTAGATTGTAAGCTCGAAAGAGCAGGGCCCTCGATCCCCTCATGTTTTGCATTGTATTGGTATTGTTCTGTCACATGTTCTGTCCCCCTTTGTAATGTACAGAGCTGAGTGAACTATTGGCGCTTTATAAATACTGTATAATAATAATAGACTTAGGTGAGTGACCCTTCCTTGGTTCTGCAATACAGAGAGTACAAGAGTTGAGGTCCCACAGAGTCAATGGAATACTGACCAGTGGGACAATACGCATGACACCGATGCACTAAGGAATGTGAAGCAATTGGTCTCTGAAAGAAAAAAAAAAAGACCGTTAATGCCTAAATCTAATTCTTGATTGTACTCAAGGCCAGTCCCAGATCAGCTCCAGAGCAGAGAAAAGCAAAGATGTGACCGGCCCACAACAAGCTTGCGAAGATGAAATACCCTAGCCTCACACCAAGCAAAATAATATTTCCAAGACCTGTGGTAACTATTCTTTGAAGTAAGTCACCTTCCGAGCCTTCAATAGAGTATGAATGAGCAAATCAGAGAGTCTCTCAACACCCTTGCTTCAACAGCCATGCCTGTGAAAAAAGATGGAAGACTGGACTTTGCAACAGAAAGAAGCTAGGAAAAAAAAGCTCAAGGGTTACCTTCAGTGGGGCAGCATAACCCTATCATAAAGGATATGAAGACGCTTGGTGTCCCATAATGTATGATAAAGAACAAAATATAATTAGAAAACGAATACCATCATACATACCTTTTCCTGCATTCTTTTGCCCAGTCTAGTGAAGTCACAGGTCCTCTCTCGGTAACGGCAGTAGGTGGAAGGAGATTCCTCCTGGAACACATGGCATGCTCATCTGCAGTACTGTGAGCTCAGACCAGCATGATAAGGTGGCCCTAGTGGGCATGTCTATGATTGCTGTATATACCCCAAAATCCCCAACTATGGGGCATATATAGCAATGCACACACTATAACCAAGCTCACCTGGAGGCAGAACGTTTCTCCTTCCCCAAAAAAAGATAAAAAACTTCAAAATAAAACTCCACATAGAGCTAATCTTTGCCAATGTTATCTCCGTGTGGAGACTGACTGGGGAGCTGGGAGGAAGCATGGCTTGTGCAGCACCTCATTGGCTGGATACCTCTTCATGGATTGGCAGAGGTTTTCAGGAGCCAGCTTCATCTCCAGCTATCATCATCCATTCCTGTCTAGGGACAGTGACACCAGGATCCAGAAGTGACGTTTTACACATTGCTTCTGGGTCATTAACAGAAAGGGGAGATCAGTGAACAGGTGTTCACTGATCTCCTTCCCTTCTACCAGTGGCACCCACCATGCAGGTCCCAGGTCTGTTTTTGGGAGTACAGAGCCTGGGAAGCATGGTAAGGCACATGGGAGGTGTGGAAGTGTTTTGGAGGCTGCACAGATCATTTCCACCTGACAGTCAGCCTGTCAGATTTACACGCACTCAATGAGATGCTTCCTGTTAGTTCCTATTTACACTTGTGTTTGAGGGACATTAAAAATATGTGGCTGAGCCACACTTTTACCACCCCATTCCCCAGTATGCTGCCACTGTAGTAGTACGGCAGTGAGGGGTTTTACACAGCACCCCACCGCTATTGCCATACTACAGTGGCATTGCCTTTGCAGCATAATGGTTGGAGGACATTAAAAGTGTGGTTCAGCCACATATTTTTAGTGTCCCTCAAACACAAATATAAATAGGAACTAGCAGGAAGCATCTCACTGTACTTGGATGATCGTCATCATTATCATGATGATCACGCAGTACAGAAGGTGCTGTATGTCTGTCTGTACACAGCGTACGGCTAGATTCCTGTCTGTGCTTCAGAAAACAGAATGGCTGTGAGCAACTGTCACTGATCAGCATTACAAAACACAGCGTGGCTTTAGCTGTGCCAGAAATTGAAAAGAGTCCCCCTCTTCTCATTGCCTCCTGGGCCCCTCTAGTGAACTAAAGGGGCCCAGGGAAAAAATAATTAGTTACAGCAGGGCTGGCTGTGCTGCCCTCTTGGCGCCCCTGGCCATGCCTACGCCCTAGGCGGCGGTCTAGTTTGCCTAGTGGTAGCCCTGGTCCTGCACACACCATAAGCTCAGACATATCACTGCAAGGCAATAGAAGACTTCAAGTGTATGTCTGCACCAAAGTAAAAAAGCTGCTCAGAACAGATTTATTGTTGCATGCATAATATATATATATATATATATATATATTTTTTTTTTTTTTAAATCCCACACCCTATATTTTTCACTAGACATGCATCTAAATGTCAGTCTGAAATTGGGCTGTTCACTATGTTCTCAAAGGATATTTGTGGCATCAGGATTTTTTTTTTTTTTTTTTTTCCGCACATTGACTTGGAGGTTTCTTCATGGCATGCATACGTTTGTAACAACACTTAGGTGTTCATCCTTAATCACTTGCTATTATAAGATTTAACACTAGATATTTTTTAAGCCTAAAAAAAAAAAACAGGTTTTTGGGGGTTTTTTTTAATCGACATTCAGATGTAGAGAAAACTTTCACACCCTCTCCAACAATCACATTTTTCATTATTTGACATTTCATTTTCTGCTACACAGTGTGCAAAACCCAGCACTGCGAGTGAAAAGGGTTGTTACCTGACTAATTATCGTCCAATTTGATAGTAATTATATCTAGCAGCACCAAAAATGTAATATGGCTACAATACATCAAGTTGTAATAGCACTTAAGGCATGCTAAAATGGCCCTATTATACTTCATTTCGTCCTTCCTTAAGAGGTATTTAGAATGCCTTAGGTGTAATTGCAGATTGTTGAATGATGACCATTGGACATAAAAATACATTTGACACAGTTTTTATGAAAATCACAAGTGTTGTGTATACAGAATATCATTTACTGCCTCATTACAGTAAAAAAAAATGTAAGCCATCTTCTAAATGTATTCAATGTCCAAATCAATTCTCTCTGGGCAATTCTGTAAAGGGAAAGTACAGTGTTCTTTTAAGAA